GATAACCAGACGTCAATCCACGAAACTGCGTCAGTATACGAGGCCCCTGTAATGTGAGACCGAATCCCACTAGCCCTCTGGGCGCAAGGGGTCTACAAAGGCTCCATCTCTCGTGGACCTGGACGGGACGCCCCGCGAACGGTCAGAACATCTAAGATGGCTCCAGGATGGTTCCAAGAGGGCCTCAGGGAGCCCAAGATGACCTCCAAGATGGCACAAGGTAGCCCAATATGCCTCCAAATGGTTCCCAATATGCTCCACGAGGCCCCAACACCGTTCCAAGACGGTTCCAAGTGGCCACGGAGCGTCTCACGGAGGCCGCCAAGAGGCCCAAACCTTTCAAACACCGAAGGAACATCACTGAGTGTTGCCCTCTCGCCTGTTTGCTTTCGATGGCCTTCCGCGGCCTCAAGACAGCTCCGAAAGAGCTCCAAGCTCCAGAGCCCCAGGAGAGGCCTGAGAGAGCCCCAAGACGGCCCCAAGAGCGCTCCGAGAGGTCCAAGAGAAGTTTTTATCCACTCTAAGAGGGGCAGGGCTAATTGAAGCTCCTCCCTTGTTTACCAAATGTTCTCCAAGATGGCCCCCAAAGCGTCCCCAAGCTTCCCTGGAGCGCCCCAAGAGGGCCCAAAGAGGCGTCAAGGAAACCCCCAGAGGCTCCCCGAGCTACGCAAAAGGCCCCTGGGACCGCCAAGAGGCCCCCAGGACGCCCCAAGAACCCCGACATTCGACATTGTCCTCCTCCTCCTCCTCCTCCTCCTCCTCCTCCTCCTCCTCCTCCTCCCCCACTTCCTACTCCTCTTCATCTACCTATTGTTTCCCCTCCCTCCTCTCTCCTCCCCCGCCCTCAACTACACACCCCAGGAGGGAGCGGAGGGGACGAGGAGGAGGAACTGGGTCCGCAGATCCTTGTTTTTTAGTGTGCCCCCCCCGGGCCCCCGAAAAATCATAGAAAAAACGCCCGAGTTGGAAAGTGATTCAGGAGTTTCCCAGGGGGTTCTGAAATACTCTTGATATTAGTTCTGGGGCCCCAAACCCCTGAAAACAACGGATGAAAAAACAACATACTTCGGTTTCTTTACAATTGTTTCCCGGCTAAAAAAAACGACACCCCGAGTCGTAAACTTTCCGGGTTCTGACATACTTTTGTTTTTTATTGTGGAGCCCAGAACCCCCGAAAACCCATGGAAAAAAAACAGAGTTGGGCTTGTTTTTTGGGAGTTCCCCACTCCCAGAAAAAAAAACCCAAGAACAATCCCGAACCACTCCCGAGCTGGGGGGTTTGACGCAGGGTTTTCTGAAATAGTATTGTTTTTATGTGTGGAGCCCAACACCTTCGAAAAACACAATTATCCCGGCAAAGCAACCTAACAGCGATGTGTAGAAACATATCTGAAAGCATTCCCCTTAAGATTCAGATGATAATCCAGTTGTAGAATTCTGCTGTTCTCGCAGTCGTAGTCGCATTCGCGATGACAGTCGCAGCGGCAACGGCAGTCGCAGTCACAGCCTCAGCCTCAGCCTGCCTCAGCCTCAGCCTCAGCCTGCCTCAGCCTCAGCCTGCCTCAGCCTCAGCCTCAGCCTGCTTCAGCCTCAGCCTCAGTCTGCCTTCAGCCTCGGCCTCAGCCTCAGCCTGCCTCAGCCTCAGCCTGCATCAGCCTCAGCCTCAGCCTCAGCCTGCCTCAGCATCAGCCTGCCTCAGCCTCAGCCTCAGCCTGCCTCAGCCTCAGCCTCAGCCTGCTTCAGCCTCAGCCTCAGTCTGCCTTCAGCCTCGGCCTCAGCCTCAGCCTGCCTCAGCCTCAGCCTGCCTCAGCCTCAGCCTCAGCCTGCCTCAGCATTCAAAATGTGGCCCGGGAATGGAGTTCTGGGAACTCGAAGAACACGAAGTGGCCTACAGTTGGCTCCGGGCATTCAAAATCATGCCCAGGAATGGAGTTCTGGGAACTCGAAGACCACGAAGTGGCCTACAGTTGGCTCCGGGCATTCAAAATGTGGCCCGGGAATGGAGTTCTGGGAACTCGAAGAGCACGAAGTGGCCTACAGTTGGCTCCGGGCATTCAAAATGTGGCCCGGGAATGGAGTTCTGGGAACTCGAAGACCACGAAGTGGCCTACAGTTGGCTCCGGGCATTCAAAATGTGGCCCGGGAATGGAGTTCTGGGAACTCGAAGAGCACGAAGTGGCCTACAGTTGGCTCCGGGCATTCAGAATGTGGCCCGGGAATGGAGTTCTGGGAGGTCGAAAAGCACGAAGTGTGTGACTGTTTGCGAAAAGCGCATTCGGACACGAGTTCGGACACAGCTCCCCGGATGCCGCCCCGATCCCCCTGTGGAGTCATCTGCTGCTCTCTTTTGAGCCTACTAGAAACCTATCAGCAAACGCTGTTAGGTAAAAAACAGACTTGGGTGAGGTCCCCCCCCGGAACAAAAAAAAACAAGAAAAATCATAAAAAAACGAGTTGGGTTTTTATTCGGGGGGGGGGGGGGGGCGCAGGAGAACCACAGAAAAACAACAGAAACACCTCAGAGTTCGTTAATTTTTCGGAGGTTTCCACGCGAGGTTTCTGAAATAGCTTTGTTTTAAAGTCTGGGGCCTCAGGCCCCCGAAAAACCGTTAGAAAAAAACTCCGATTTGGAAGGTTTGTCGGAAGCTCAGGCCCTCGGACAAATCTACGAAGCAACAAAGAAAAACGACAATAGAAAAAACACAGACAAATTACAGAGTTGGGGGGTTTGTCGGGGGGTCCCGGAGGGGTTTTCTGACGTAGTCTTGTCAGGGGCCCCAGAACACCAGAAACAAGATAGAATACTCTCAGGATTTTGTTGTTGTTTTTTTTTTCGGAGGGGGTTCCCCTCTCGGAAAAAAAAAACGAGTTGGAGAGTTTTTCGTGGGTGTCCCGCGGGGTTTTCTGAAGTAGTATTATTTTTAAATGTGGAGCCCCAAGCCCCTGAACAAAAACACGACAACGTACTGAACTGGAGGGTTTTTCATGGGTCCCCCCACCCGGGGAAAACCATCGGAAAATACGGAAAAAACCGGAGTTGGGATGCTTGGGTTTCCCTGCCCCCCCCCCCGAAAACCGCCGAATAACCCTAGAACAAAAACCCGAATCGGGGGGGTTCCCGGGGGGTTCGACGAACTGCCTCACCCAGCTGTCGATCGTCGCGCTCCAGCGGCCCACCGCGAGTGGCTCGAGCAACAAGCAGGCACCCAGCCACCCACCGGGTTCCCAATCCTCCCACAAATCATACAGTCCCACCCCATACTGGCCAGAGAGGTTCGAGCCCAGCCAAAACGTGAAGATCCAGATTTGCACGAGGCGCGCATCAAGTCAACCATGAGTCCTCCAACTGCCAGGAAAGAACATGTGTCCTGAGAGAGATGGGTCCTGGACACCGGGGCGTTCCCTGGAGTCAGCTTTTCTTCCTGAAAGCGCGATGGTTGGCGTTCCCATGTTGTTTTGGACGGCCAATGGGGCCCGTCAACGGCCCCGAGAGGGTGGAAACGGCGACAAACCCCGAGACCCCTTTCCCTCAGGACCCCTCTTCCTCACAATGACCTCCTCTCCCTCCCTCCCTGAGGGGGACGCCAGGGGTGGACCAGCTCCGAGAGGGAAACATCGACCCGAAATCGGCGATGCATCGCCGATTGATCGGCGATGCGCCCCCGATAGCGAATCCGCATGGTCTGGGGCGGGGTGGGCAATCAGGGCCCTGTTTGCGAGAAATGGGCGGTTGGGGGCCGATGCCGCCTTTACACCCCTACCCCTCGGCGACCTCGAAACCCCGAGGGACCTCACTGCACGGCTCGTCACCGCACGGCCTGGGACCTGGGAGGCCCTGGTCGCCCGAGACATCCTCGGAGAGCGACCCGAGTCCCAAAACCGTCGGGCCTTCCCGAGTCCCCACCGACACACCACACGGTGTGGCCCACCGCACCGTGCGCTGGCGGTGCCCACTGGGGCGCGGCGTGGCGCGGTGGGGGCTCTCTCGGCGGGCCCCGGGCGGGCCTCTAGAAGGACCCCCCTTGCCTCCTCGCGCCATCGCTGGGACGTTTATTCCTCG